CTCAAATGAATTTGTAGATCAAAACATTCTTTGTTAAGTTTTTCTAAATCAGGTTTACTGAGTTTGTTTATATTTGACAAAAATTCAAACTGTTTGTTATGGGTTTCCATTTGCACAAATCCCTCATCTAGAGATGCAATTTCATATCCAATACTGTGAAAAAGAAGTTTACTCTGAATTTATCTTCAGGTGTTTGGGTTCTTCATCTCAATGTTTATAATAATAAAATATCTTACTTCTGTTTCTCACTACATTATTAGTTTTGACATGTGACTTTCCTTCTAAACCTTCATGTAGATATTTTAGCTGTTTGCAGTAAGCAATTGTAAGAAACATTTGTACAGTAATTACTAAAAAATTGTTTTAGAGTTTTAATGGCTGTCAAAGCATGTGAAATATTTGTTTGAGGATTTTGCAACATTTTGACTAACAGGATTAATAGAATGTAATATGTCATATCATAAAACAAGAGTGCCTAGAAACTGATAATCTTTTAATTTTGTACATAATATCTGAGCTTCATGTTTAATTTCTTGATCAAAATTATCATCAGAGAATATTTCAAACAAAGCATCTTATATTTTTCCTGTTAGATGTCTCAGTGGTTGAAGAGCATTTATGTGACTTTTCCTTCAAATATTAACATAAATGAGGTAATTTGCTTTTTTAAGCTAGTCCAATGTTTAATAGACAGTGCGAAAAAATTATAATTTTCTTTTATAGTTCCAAAAAACTTATGATTTCTGAAGAAGACATAACTGAGAATATGAAAGAGAAAACAAACCATAGGAAATTATAATTGACAAATTGCATTTCAAGATGTGATTGTTTATTTTAATACATTTACATTTTCTTATTTTGTAGAAATAATGAATCAGGTTGCATTAATTATTATTCATAACATAACAAAAATGTACTCTTAATTTTGCACCATCTTGGTGCTCCTCTTGAATCAGTGCCCCTGTGCCTTGCTTATCTTGCTTACCACCTTCCACCAGCCCAGCACACCACCATCCAGTCTATCTATGCCATAAAGAGTAATGTGCATGCCAACCTCCAGAATGCCATGTTAATTAAACAGTCCTGACAAGCTACTACATCAGGGCTTTAAAAGCTTTAGAAATCTACAAAGATGATCCAACAGACAGTTACATTAACTTTAAAGATGCTTCTTAAGTATGTTTTGATTAATTTCTGTTTTGAAAAACTTTGTTCTGCTGTCTCTGTTGTCACTCTGTTGTCAAAAAAATGAGGCATGCTGCAGTAATGTCGGAGAAGCCACTTGAGGCTGCAGTGTGAATTAAAATTAGTTTGGCAACTTCGCGTATAGAGGTTTAAGTGAATATTAAAACACATTTTAAATTGAAGCAGTTGAGGTCCAAAACTAGACAAAATGTCTGAGGTATATGTCAATTGTAACAATTCTGATCTTTCCAGTATATTTTTATCAGAAGACACAACAAGATATGCAGGTGATGAGCACTTAAAAAGTGTACATAATTCTCGAACAGATTCAAATCTAATAATTAATTGATTAATTATTGAATCCATTACTTTATAAAACACACCGACTTTGAAACATTGTTCACTGTTTTCAATGTGCTCATCTACCTGTAATTCATCAAAGAATTTTTTCACACGATGCAATCTTTTTTGGAAAAAGAAGGTTCAATATTCCATATAGCTGATAACTCAGAGGCATCATTTTTAACAAACTCCCAATTATTCTTTAAGTCCTGGAATTGGGTTAGGAGTGATGAAAGAATCTCAACAGATTTCTCTATGTCTTCATGAGCAACTTGCAGCATTTTCAAGACTGTATTAATCGATTCAAATATTTTACTTTGTACTATTTTCAAAATAATGGTTGAAAATTGTTCAAAATAATTAATCAAATTTTTAGCTTCACGTTGATCATAATTTTTTCCATTTAATGATAATGTCAATATTTTAATTACAACAAAATAATGAGAACATAATGCATCAAGAGCATTAATATGGGTAAACCATTGTGTTGGAGAAACTCTTTTCAATGTTTTTGTTAAGTTGGTTTGATTAATTTCCATTAACATTGCCCAATGCCTAACAGAACTGAAAAAAACAAAAATTTTTTCTAATAGTTCATAAAATTGCCTGACTTCTTGTACCTTGGTGACACTAAATTCAAATTATGAGAACAGCAATGTACAAATCTGGCAGCGGAATTTCACTGTTTAATTCTTGCTTGTAACTCTGAGCAGATACCGCTCATATTCGCAACCCTGTTGTAACCTTGACACAATTTTAATACCACTTATTTATTAACCCATGCAATTTTGATAGATCGGTGAAATTTTCAATACATTTTAAAACTGTTGTTTTTAATCTTTGTGATGTTTGATCAGTAACCTGAATAAAATCCATGAAACATTTCCTTTATTTGCAGCTTGATTGGTTTTTATTTTCATTTTTTATTATCAAAACATAACAAAATACAATACTTAACTGATTGAGTTTTGATAGATCTTGCGTTGTATCTGTTATTACTGTTATGAAAGTGGCCTCTTCCATTTCACTTTTAATTTGGACATTAATTTCATGTGCAATCAAATTAATTCATTCATTTTGTATATACAGACTCAAGTAATTGGTACTGCCTTTGGGTTTCTTTAATAGATCTGCTAAAACATCTTCATAGCAAGAAAGTAATTTAATTATTTCTAGAAAGTTTCCTTGCAAAGTTCCTACATCTTAAAGATCTGTAATCCTATGATCTCAGAAAAGTAAATTATTTATAGCAAGCGTTATAGTCACATCTACTATATGTTGCAACACTTTTCACCAATAATTTATCACATTGTTGATTTCTTGCTGACTAACAACATCTATGGTTGAACCACTTTTCCATTAGTCAGGAAAGCATTAAACAAGGCAATAAAATACTTAGCCAACTCTAGAGATAAGAGGTTCGTTCTGTCTAAAAGCCAGGTGTGTGTGACTAATAAATCTACGAAAGTTCAGCAAATTTCTATAAATTAATTACTTTTGTTTTGTTCGAAAATTTGAAGTTTTATTATAATTTTTTTTACAAATGTGTTTACAAGTTTTTACTTTGCCTTTCTAATTTGACGCCCTCATGACAGTGCACCTGGAGCAGTTTGCTCCAACTGCTCCACAGTAGCTATGCCCCTGCTTGGCAATATTTTTATGAAAAACTAGACAATACCAACATAAATTAGTTAATACTATTTTTATGATATATTAATTTCTTATATTTGTATAGGTTTTAATTATATATTTAATTCCAATATTTTAAAAAAGTTTGAAATTAGTTCTGTGCATTCCAGTTTAGAATTTTGTTGACTTGAAGTAGTTCTGTAAGATTTATATTAAATTATTTACTGGATTGTCAAAGTTTTAATTGGTGCACTTAGTTACTAGGTTTATCGAGGATGGAGCAGCAGAAGACCAAACTGGGAATTAATAATCAATTAAAGACTGAAAATTAATAAAGAAAAGAGGCGTAAAATTGCCTTAGAAGAAATTGGCCTACAGAACTGCCAAAGCATGCTACATTTAATTGCTGACCCTTTAACTTTTTTATATGTGAGTGAAAAGTGAGCTTGGCCTTAAAGATTACTCCCAAATGATGTTTAATTTGATCAGATATTGATTTAACATACGAAAAACAACTGTTTTTCAGTAAAAAAAAAAAAGCATTAATGACTAATTTCAGTTTTTCTTAAGTCTCAACAAGGATATTTAATTTTATTTGTAATTAGATAGGGTTGTTATTAATTGGATTTATGTCATTGGTGTAAGCATTGACATTGGAATTTAAACTACTAAAACATTTGTTAGTGCTCTATGTTTCATTATGTATTAAAGGCTGAGTCATGTTGAATGCCATTTGAATGCCAGGAACAAAATTGCTAAGTTAAAAGAAAAATCTCCAATTTTAACACAGATTTGAAGCAGAATATAGTTATTAAGCCATTAAATAAAAACTGGGTCATGACCAAACTTGGTATTTAATATATTCTCTATCAACTGGATAAATAGACAACAAGAAAAACACACCTTTAAAAATCCAGCAAATAAATTTACTAATCCTGTCACTATTATTATTATTTATCTGTACTTGTGTAAAGATCATTTGAGAAAATAACTCTGCAAATGTTAGTTTAATACAACTTGCTTCTGCTGTCATGTCAGGATGTGAAACATTCCAACAGAAGCTTATTACATCATTCACTGGTGTATCACTTGTGACTGGGTCTGATATATACTGGAATGTATCTAATTACTTCCAACTCATGATATTGATTTGGTGGTGTCATATAAATGAAATGAAACTCTTTCGGATACTGATCCCTGTCACTGTAAAAACCGAATTTTCAACAAGTAATAATTTTAGGAAGAAAGTTCCATGTGACATCAAAAGAGAGTTACACTGGTATGGCTCATGTCCAAATTTTACAGTAAAATGATAACAAGATGTTGAATATGAAGAATTCACAGAAATGGAACAATCTTTGAGATCTTGGAGTTTATATAGATTAATTATAAAAGGAAAAACGGTAAGAAATATAAAAATTGTGAAAACTTTTCCTGTTGATTAATTTCAAACTTTAGTTCAAGATTTGATTAATTTTTATAAGTTTTCATAAAGGGAGTGAATATTTGTTTTGCATGTGAGTTTATAAAAATATTTTGACAAAGTAAATTATAGAAATTTTAATTGCATTCACATAAATTCATTTAAGTTGGAGAGAAACTGTTTCCAATGGAAAGAACTGAAATACTCTTAAAAGAAATTAAATTTATAATTTTTTTATGGAGATACAAGAATTACAGCAAAAATTGTGAACTGCATTTGTTAAGAATGAAATAAATAAAGTCTTAGCACTAACATTATTTTTAAGGAAACAAAGAATTTATATGTCAATTAATTTAACCAATAATCAATTAATTATTCCTGACCTTCTAATCTTAGATTTTCCTTAATAACAATTTAATAGCAAACGTGCATCACCTAGATGACTCCGACGTTGTCGAGATGACTCCTCTTAGGAATTACTCTTCTCGAGATTTCGAATGGGACCTGACCGGCGATGACGCAGAATCTACAATGATGGTATGATGTGTTTGAAATTTTGTTTGCTTTTTCTCACTTACCATTGTCTTACCCATAATTTTCTGTCTGTAATGAAATTGTGAAAACCATGCTATTATTCTAATTCTTTTAAGTGTTATTAAATTGTTTGCTGTAATTCTTAAGACATTTTTTCTTACTAATCCTGTTTTAAAATTCTTAATTGGAAACAGAAATGAATCCATTTTCTACTTTTATATAAGTCTCATCAGCTATATTTAGTTAATATCAAATCGTTTAAACAATTTTTTTCACATTATCATGTTAGTTTTTAATATTATCATCATTTTGAACTACATTACATTGTGATTTTGTCAATTTTTACTTTTTATATTAAAAAAATCTGTAATTATATTAATGTTATTCATATACTGCTCTTAAGAGCACAACCCCATTATTTATAGTTCAGAAATTAAAACCAAAAAAACATTATATTACCATATCTTTTTTAGTGGTTAGTTTAAATATTGAGATAAACACTTTTGGATATTGTTTATACCATCTTCAGATCCTGAAGACAATTCTATGTTAGATCTGAAGATGTATGTAAACAATATCCAAAATGTTTATTTAAATATTTACAGACCTCTAGAAAAGATATGGTAATATAGTGTGGTTTTAGTTCTAATTTGCGAATTAATATTGTTATATTGAAGATTTATTTATTTTATTTGGTCTGTTTTCATTCTTTTTGTTCACATTTCAATATTTACACAAACTGTTGAAGTGGACAAATAAAACATTGCTTGCCAATAGTTTGATTTGTTTGCTTCAGTGATTTCTTTACAATGCATTGTAAACAAATTACTAAAAGTTTTTAAATGGTCTGTCATTGTTACGAAAAAGTCATTAACAATTTCATTTCTGTGCTGCTTATTGATATCCGTGCTTTTCTTTGGCTACATAAATTTTTCATAATAAAAACAAAGAAATCATGATATTAAACTTCTTAAATAAAATCAAAATATCTATTTGAATACTTTCAATTGATTTCAATTTATGGCTTTATCAGATACTGGAAGAACAAATGATTATAATATAATTACAGGTATAATTAAATTTAAATAAATACATGTTTGAATAAAATTTTTCAACCAATGTAAGCAAAATAGTTTTCATTTTTCTTGTAATGCCTTACAGATTTTTCCTCTTTATTTTTTACTGGTATTTGCATTTTGTATGTTATTTTTTAACTACTCAAAATTCACAAAAAGAAAATAAGGAAAATTTGTACAGTCGACCCTGATATAACGTGATTTTATATAATGAAGATTCGTATATGACAAAAAATTGCGACTGATACTCATAAAATGCAATAATGTGAGGTATATAATGTTAGGGCTGACAAATAGATCCAGCCAAAGTTGCCACGTAAAACAGAAGTTTGTAATTCCCATTACAATTGAAATTATCGCAACAAACATTTAGTGCATGGATCCACAATGCCTTAAGCTATATTAAAACTATAAGATGAAATAAGAGGGAGGGAGGAGCAATGATAACGGTTATATGGAAGAGATTCTTCAAGTTTACAAGTTAGATAAATTTGAGCATTTTGACAGTACTTTGATTTTTTAGAAATGCTCTTGTTTATGTATGCTTAGGGAAGTTAGTTATAAAAGATGTAAACGTTTATCTTAAAAAATTTAAATGAATATTTAAAGAGATGACAGAAAAATATTTTTATTTCACTTAAAGTCAAAACAAAACTTAAATAGGGAAGTAGCATTTATTCACTGTTGCTGTCCTCAAAGAAGTTCCAACGACGACATCATGTTAAAAAGACCTCCCGGAACGTATCCCCCAGGCAGATCGCCCTAGTATTGCGTTGCCGTATTTAACTGAACAAACCGTACATCATACTTTTCCTGTTAACAATAGAGTCGTGTCGGTCACTATCTTACTCCGTTCAGGAGAAATTTTTTGAATTGAAATAACGTGATTTCCGGTTCAAATCAGAAATCCGTATATAGGCCTAGTTTGTCAAGCCTCCAGCCGCTAAGATTTCCATATCTGATCTCGACTTTCATCTATCTCGCTCTGTTCTCAAGAGTACAGAAAGACAGACAGGCGGATGCCAGTGGGAATTTACGAGTCTGTAATTTTTAAAATTGCAGCCCAAAAATATGAAATACAAAATAAATTCCTTTTAAATATGACAGGTCAATATTGCATATATGCGTTTGAGTCTGCATAATCCTTCAGAAGGTGCCTCAAAAACATGAAATGAATGAGTTAGATCGTGTGATGCTTTTCAGGCACCAGTTTTTGTTATAAAATTGGGAAATTATCAGAATTGCATCACAAACTACGACTGTATCTTTAATTTCTTCATTTTTTCTTCCTTCAAATGATAAAAAATTTTCGTGGATTACTGAAAATGCATATTTTATGCTTGTTTTTTTTGTACTTTGGTGCAAAAAACCAAAAAATGAACATATTAAATTTTAGTTTGATGTAAATTATCTCAGCTTTTGCGAATTGGCATCGACAATTTACAATGATGTCAAATGCGTAAATTGCTAGTTTAATAACTTAAAAAATTTTCATAGTTTTATCAAATAAAGACATTTGTCACCATGCCTGAATAATACCATTACCAAATGGACAAAGATTTTATCATTTACAAAATTTGCATTATGCATTATCAAATATGTGCAAAACCACCAGTGTATACAAAGTATAACACGTGGTTTGTGTAACAGTTGCCTATAATGGAACATATATCTCGCATTGTATGGGGTTCACTTTAGTTAGTTTTAATTTAATTTCGGTAATTGTTCTTATATCTTTAGAAGGTTAACACATTTTGCAAATATTACATGTTCCATGTTTAATTTAAGTCTGATTTTTGTAAAAACAGAACGTTTAAATATTAGTAATTTAAAAAATATCTTTTATCCAATTTGACATTCCATAAATATGACTTTTCTTGGCAGATCTCCTAGGTTTGCAATACATAATTGTGGTAGCGCACACTTTTTTCAGAAGTGTTGAAATTGCAATCTGTTGTTTATAGAGTTAGACTATTAATTATTTCCAATTCTGATTTATCCTTAAAGTCGGAAATAGAAATAATTAAGGGCTCTATGAACAACAGTGGCTGTTTGATCTTCAAATTAATTTATTCAAACAATAAAATTAACCACAAATTACTCTCAGTGAGTGTAATCACTGGTAACTTGAAACCAACTCCAACTATTTGGCTTCCTTATCTTTCCAGCATTGCTCCTCCAGATCTTCGCAGGAAACAAGCATCATCTAAACTTCGGGTGAAAGTTGAATTTATTCCGAATCTTCCCATCAACAGTATCCTTCTTGGCCCTTTCCCTTTACGCCTGAAATCTAGAAATTCTTTCTGGTTAGTCTCCGACCAGTGCAATATAGTCACAGAATGGCAATCCCTCTGGAACATCATCATCTCCTCCCAACAAAAAGATTTGGTGAAGGATCGTACAGTCAGACCTGGTTTCAACTTGCCACGACATATCTGGTCCGCCATTAATAGAATCCGGACCTCAGTCGGCAGGTACAACTATCTTCTCAATAAATGGAATATGTCCAGAGATGCATGCTGCGACTGCAGTCGAATTAAAACTATTAAACATATAGTTCGAGACTGCCGTCAGCGACCCTTTGATGGAGATTTGATGGACGTCCACCAGTTTAATAGTGAAGCCTTGGAATGGATAGATCGCTTGGACATTAGACTTTAACCTTTTGCTGTTCTTTTCTGTGTGTCAGTTGTTTTGTTTTTGTGCTGTACTCAACTACCATACGCAATATATACATATAGCGTATACCACAAATTGTTTCTGCTAACTATCAATACATTAACACCTGATAAACAGTTATGCTTCTCTTCTGTCCCGTGATCCTTGTCGATAGCATAACGTATAGGTTATTAAAATTATGCGAAAACATTCCTTTTTGGCTACTGATGCCATTATCCAAACTGCAGATTATGACCTAACAAAGACAGGTTGAAAAGTAGAGAAAAATCAGGAGTACGTCATACCATTAGAAAAATAAGGAAGTTGACCGTTAGGTACATCGATGTAACAGAAAGAAATTTAAATAAATAAAATTTTAGAGTATGAACGAGATGATAAGTACCGAAGAAAAACCACAATTTTGCCAACTTTGGAGTATTACAAATCAAATTGGAATGATGTGAAATTGTTGTTTACACCTAGAAATCGAAAATTATATATAGCTTCTGCCAAGAATAAAGTTAAGACAAGAAATTAATAATCTTTTTACTAAAAGTTTTGATCATATTGAATTATATTATTTTTTCTATAAAATATATGTTTCCAGATACAGTGGTAACTCGGTATACGTCTGCTTTAGAATGCGTCAAATTCGGAATACGTCCTGTTTGGACGAAACAAATTTTGCTCGGTATACGGACTTAATTCAATTATACGCGCCATCAATGAACAAGTAGCACTCTCGGTGTACTAGACCAGACTAGACATTCAGACTAGACGAGATGCCACGGTTTATAACTTTGTTAAATTTCTTCTGATTTTAATTCGTAAGTAAAATTTTATTATTTTTATTAATCGTGAATTGCAAAAAGGCAAATTAAAAGCGACAGAAAACTAAAAAAAAATGACTAGAATCACAATGGAACTGAAAAAAGAGATTGTTGAGAAATACGAAGGTGGCACGCGTGTTCGAGATTTAACTGTTGCATACCGTATTCCGAAAACGACGATATGGACAATTGCAAGAAATAAAGACATTATTAAATCTGCTAACGTTGCGAAAGGGGTTAAATCAATTTCTAAACAGAGATCGAAGACATTAGATCATGCTGAGAAATTGTTTTTGCTTTGGATAACTGAAAAACAGTGCGCTGGAGATGGCGTATCGGAAGCAATTATTTGCGAGAAAGCTAAAAAGATACACGCTGATCTCGTGAAAAATCAAGCGGTAACTAGCCAGGAAACGAGGTGTTTAAAGCCAGACATTTTTTTTCATTAGAACGGATTAATCATTTTTACATTACTTCTTATGGGAAAGGTTGGTTCGGTATACGTCCTATTCGGTATAAGTCCAAACACCAGGAACGGATTAAGGTCGTATACCGAGGTTCCACTGTATTGTAAAATTATGATGATACAAATATTTCAGATTTTCTAAAAGCAAATATTCAAATTTGGTTTGATTTTTCAAATGAAATCAACTGAAGACACTTAAATTGGATATCTAAATGAAAGTACTTTCAATTACTTTTTTGTGAATAAAAACACTCAGTATCATATCATGGCAATGTAAAATATACACTCACTGACAAAAAAAAGTTACATACCAAGGAGGCATTGAAATCGAATGTAACTGTGTAAATGTAATGATGATGATAAGTGATTATAATAACTTAAATATATCACGTAAAAGCTGGAACCGCATACAGATAAACACCACACACCTTTCTTATTTTTCACTTTAATAAAAGAACAAACGTTTTTGATCCCGTTCAGGAATCGGCTTCAAGTTATTAAACTGTTCAAATAACTATAGAGCTTTTTTAATGTTTCTAAAATAGAACAGTTCAAATCTTACATGACATCATTTTTTAAAATTTGAAGGTTTACAATATGTCCAACATTGACCTGGTAGGTGCAAATTTTTTGTTACAGTGTATATTGTTGCTTGGCAAACCATAACGTATGTATAGAATTGAATTAAACAATGTTGTTTTCATAGTCAAAAGATGGGGTGGATGAAACACAGACTCTCCAGCCTTTTGAGGGTAGAACAATTGGTTGGCGAAGGATCCTTAAGAGAGCAAAGAACTCATTTTTCGATAAGGCATCTTTTCGGTGGAAAAGAACCTCATATTCTCGAGACCAAGTTTTTAAAAGATTCGTCCCTCAATTCGGATATCCGAATTGGTTCCGATTCCCTCTCTCAACTTTCCGATCGATCTTTTACCTATCTCTAGGAGTAATTCAAGATCTAACTCGGGTCGATATTGATGTTTAATTCAATGCCGCATTATGACGCTGACCAGAGATGTTTGCTAAAATTTGGGACGCTCACCCGTAACTCAGAATGGTGTGTTTTCTCTCTTGGCACTAACAAGGAGACGGCCACATGTTCGGATCTCCCGATTCGAACGAAACTCTGCGAACGCTAAACACAAACAGTTCCTAGTCCAAATAATAGGACCTACTTTTTGAAAATCGAGTGTTTCGCTTAAAATTATTTGTAAGTTTCTCGTCCTTGTAATTACGATAGCCGCGTGAATACGATGCTTGGCTCAAGAACTACATTGACATAGGGTTCGACTCATCGCACTTTTAGTTTTTTTCTTTAATGTGTAACAAAGTTATTTTCAGTGGCGTACCGTAGTGGGGGCGGCAGGGGCGGCCCGCCCCGTGCGGCACTTTTTAGGGGGCGGCAAAATTTCACAATAAATAATAATAATATCTTGTAAAAATTTGAAACTTCCTAATCTATACTTTCATCGCGCCTACGATAGTGCTATCGTCCGGACAGTCCGGGAATCGGCTCGCCTTCCCGGTGAACTAGTAATTTTTAATCCGACGAAATCCTGCGAAACCTGTTGACTTTTTTTTTGCCTTTACGATTCATTCGTGTTCATATACACCACTAATATCCAATAGAACTATTTTAAACAGGTCGCTGCACTAGCACGAAATTTCATTGCTTGTTCTTTGACAAAACTGAATTTTGGTGTTTTAAATTGAAATACCTAAATAAGGGGGGCGAAATTTTCCTCCGCCCCGGGCGGCTGACACCCACGGTACGCCACTGGATAGATTATTTTATTATTTTACCGTATCATTAGCATTGTTGTTATTATTCCTCACGTTTAAAACTTATAATACGAGAGATTTATAAATGTGACATCATTTCCTGTTTAGGGAAATGCTGTAGATTTTTCTTTTATATCGTTAAATATATTTTTTTTTATTTCTTCATATTTATTTACGTATATTTTCGCTCGCGGTTACATACTCTGTCAACACAAGCGAATAAATTTAAGACGTTACTGCGGATGAACAAAGAAAAGACAATCTGATACGAAGATAGGGTAGAATAGTCGCAGCGTTTTTTTATGGTTAATATTATGTACAATTCCCTCACGCGCTCGTGATTGTTACTCCATAAATATAACAACACTATCGATTTTTGTTAATTTCAAATTATATTGTTTTCTTTGAATTATTTTATAAAAATTTATTACATTTATCTTTTGTTTAATGAAGTACTATATGTGCTTTTCCCTGCATTCTTTAGCTTCATTTTAGTTTTAAATTCTGTTGGTGTTTCCCTCCATTAATTTGAGTCTCGTTTGGGTGAGTAAAAATTCTACCGAAACGGCAATAGGTGACATCTTATAGGATAGAATTTAGGTTTTTGATTAAAAAATCTAACACAATGACAAAATATTACAGATTCGAGGAATCCATCTCTGACGATTGAAAAATTATTAGACTGCAATTTGAAAAAAAAAAAAAAATGTAGACCTATAAATTGTCACTGTCGTACGTCTGTATTTTCTTAATCTCGAGAACGGAGTTAGATAGACGAAAGCCGAGACCAGATATGGAAAGGTTGGAGTCGGGAGACCCCGATTAACTATATATGAACTTCCGGTGCAGACCGAAAGTCACAATAGAGAGGTTGCGGCCGACGTTTTCATCGCGAAAACGTGTACGTCGGACGTTTAGCGCCGCTTTCCTGTACGCCTAGAAGTTTGACAATGGTGTTTGGATAGTCAGTGGAATCATGCTCGACATTCCAAACACCATTGTCAAACTTCTAGGCTTACAGGAAGGCGGCGCTGAATGTCTGACGTACACGTTTTCGCGATGAAAACGTCGGCCGCAACCTCTCTATTATTTCAATTCAAACATTTTCCCCGAAAGGAGTTAGATGATCCACACGACTCTTGCTAACGGAAAGGTACGATGTACGGGCAAGACACTACTAATTTAAGATGGAAAGCATATATTTTAAATTAAAAATATATAAAAAATTGCAGCCTTGTATTGTGACGATATCACAATGAATAATTGCGCGTTATTTTCTGTCTTAAAAAGTCAGCACGGAATAAATGTAATGATTTATGGCATTGTCGAAATTCTGATTTATACATTTTTGCATCATCGGTTAAGCCATTACGTGTTTTTTTTTTATTTTCAGGAGTCAAACAATTCAAGTTCGGATGACGAACGACGGTACGACGAAAATATTCACGAACCGGACAGTGGAGAGTATCTTACAGTAATTCCCAAAGAGGTAAGTTTTTTTACGTGGAAAAACTTGATTTATTATTTTTAGCGAGAGAAAGTAACAAAAATCTCCGATGTAATAATAAATTAATTAATTTATCGAGATCTATTTTTTCATAAAAATAGCCTTTTGTGACAAAAGTTAGTTTAAAAATTTAATTCCGTTTACTTTTCTGGAAAGAGTGACGATTTCTCAAACGCTATTAGGAAAAATTAGCGAGGTTGAGGCCGAAGTTTTATACGGTAAAACGTGTACGTCGGACGTTCAGCGCCGCTTTTCCGTAAGCCTAGAAGTTTGACAATGGTGTTTGAAATGTCGAGCATGATTCCACCGACTATCCAAATACCATTGTCAAACTTGTAGGCTTACAGGAAAGCAGCGCTGAACGTCCGACGTATACGTTTCCCGTTTAAAACTTCGGCCTCAACCTCGCTATTAACTTGGAAAAATCCCTATTTCCAACTATTTAAGAAGAAAATTATTCCAAAAAGTTTGATTTTGTTAGAAGTCAAATTTTAATTAACGTAAAAAGATTTAACTAATTACTATTAATTACGAATCAACTAATATGTTAATTACAGTATTTCTCTCCACTTGTATCAAGTTAACAAATGTAATTGTGCTTCAAATAATACGGTGGACTAAATTAAAGTACTGTATAGTGTGTCGAGTCAAGACCGCATAAGCTCGGCAGAGCGAGAATCATCGCGGAAAATAAGCTTTATTGGAAACGTGAACGTCGGTACTTTGCGTATGACATTACGCTTACATAGCAGGATGCCGAAAATGATCGCCGTGCGTATCGAGGTGTGCATTTATGTCCGGCGCCATTATTTCTGACGTTTCCGATCCCCTTTAACTTCACCCGATACACGACAGAGTAACCGAACTATAAACGGAGGAAAGCGTAAACTTCGAGTGAAGAAATACGGTGTAAGTAAATTTGAAAACAAAATAAAACAAATTCGACAATTACAAAAACAAAAAAAATTACCGTATTACCGTAATTGTGATATTAAAAAAATATATTTTTAATATCACAATTACATTCCGAATCGCTAGCCACAACATAAGGGCTAAAATTAAAAATAAAATAATAAAAACTTAGTGAAATAAAATGTGTGGTGGATATACATACGCGGTACAAAATATTCTTCAATTGTACGAATATACTTTTAAAGAAAATTATAATTAAATATAGCTTTGTAAAGAAACGTACAGTACATAAAAATAACAAAATATTCTTTACTTTTTAAATCTTAAAACAATTCACTTACTCAAATAGCTTCGTACGAATGGTTAATGGATGGAATCAGAGACGGGTTGCAGTGCGTGCATACACGCGGACTGCCAAATCCCCAGGGCGCCGATACCGGTCAATGTCAAATGCCTCTTTTGTCGCACCACTAGTATATCTCAAAGGACGCGTTGTAAATTTTAAAAATTTCTCACCATAGCTGTAAAAATCTAAATGTGTTAAACTTAATTGTCATTTGTTTTCTAAGTAATTTGTTTTAAGACCAGGTTCCACGGAAATTTCCAAAATTTACATTTATTTATGTCCCCAATTCCCTAATCTCTTAATTATGTAACTACTTCTTAAATAGAAATAAGTCGAAACCGGTTACTTTGTACTCGAATATTTGTAATCTCGGGAAAAAAGTGGAAAGACAAATTTTTATGACAACGGATACATAAATCATAAATTTAAGGAAAATATATTCTAGAGCCTTTTCTGTACCTGGTGCATCATTAAATTTAGTTGTAAATGACGCTGTCGAAGTAACGGTTAATTTTTTAACATTATACAAAAATTGTACACGTTTTTTTTCTACATCCCCTTAAAGATGGGATATACGAAATCGTAATATCACTGGTTTAACATCGAAATCCGTAAGTAATACAGTAGAGCCTCGATTATCCGACCCAATTGGGGACTGGAGTTGGTCTGATAATTGAAAAGTCGGATAACCGAAAAGTATGAAAAAATCCATTATTAGTGTAGTATATTATTATATCGCTTAGTAATTAGTATATTAGTATATCGCTATTAACCTACTTCGCGTTGAATTTTCATCGATGTTAAGCCTAACAAAAATTTTTTAAAATAATAATCGTCGCTATTGTGTCGTTAAAAATTAGAAAATTAAGCCTCGTTTAAATACTGGCTCCCTTTCGTGGTCGAATGAGTGTTGCCAGCTAAAACACGTAAAAATAATATTAAAGTAGCCAAGACATAGCCAAATATTGTAGCGCCACATCACTAGCGGACATTTGAAATTTGCC